GGGCAGTGTGACTTTAGACAAGTTGCTTATCCTCTCGAAGCCTCGTTTCCTCATCTGAAAAACGGTGGTGCCGCCTGCTTGGGAGGGTTTGGACCATTATTTGAGAAAATACACCCAAAGCATTTCACTCAGAGACTGGTACGAGGACTCACAACGTTAGCTATTAAAAAAACAAACACCTTCAGGTCTGTTTCCAACTTTTCTCCTCCGTTTCACTGTCTACCTATTTCTACACCAGCACGAAGTATCTAATTCTATTTTAATTATTGTAAAGTTAACTCTCTCATTGCTTTCGTAAAAAAAAAATTATTTTCTATCCTTATTCCAGGGAAATTACTTTGTCCAATTAAAACAATAAAAATAACAAACCTTCACTAGGATTTTGGTTGTTGTTGTTGTTATGTGCTGTCAAGTCGGACCTGACTCATAGCGACCCCTCCTTGGGTTTCCGAGGCCATATCACTACAGAAGTAGATTGCCCAACCTTCCTTCCAAGGATTTTGATTACAGTATCATAAAATCTTATAAACTAATATGGGGAGACATACAAATGTTAAAATATTGAATGTGCTCACCTCTAAATGCAAAGAGGATATTGTTAGGTAAAAATTATAAAACTACTTTAACATTGTTATATAAAAACATTAAAAATTCAGTATTTTAACACTTTCATGTAAAAGAAGGCATAGCTCGGCCCTCTTTCATCCATATGTTGCTTTCCCATTTGTTAAGTCTTCTGTGTCCTTTGGTAACATTTCTGTTCTCCTCAGAGGCCCTGCTCATTCCCTGCTCTGTTTCTATGTTTCATGGACTGTGTGGAGGCTGTTGACTCTTGAACACTAATCCCACATATTTTTATGGACGACTTGGAACTTGTTGGTATTTGGACACTTCTTCTGCATATATTTGGATACCTTTTTAGCACTGCTTGTTTTTCAGTTATTTTCTTAGCCTTCTAGGCAAACAAGCCGTCATTATGAGCAATAAGGTGACACTCTCTCGTCTATTACTGATGACTCTTCTTCCTTTCTCAGAGGTGAGGACTTGATGTTAAACACTAATGTGACAAACACCAACGTGCCAGTGGGAAGGCTTATATCTTATTTTAATAGAAATATCTCTTTTAGTCCAGTAACTGGTATTGGCTGCTTGTTTCATATGCAGTAAGAGTTTGATCTGATCTATTTCTGGTTTTAAAAAAATGTTTAAAATCAGAAGTAAAGTGCTTAATTTTATCAACCATTCTGCTATCTATAAGAATGATCATACTTTCTCTAATTGACTTCTTAACATAATGAATTTTAAGAATGGATTCCTTAATATTAATATATTCTTAGATTTCTAGCATCGAGTAGGCAAAAAATAAACAAATAAAATTATGAAAAACAAACAGCAACCCACCACCAAGGACTGAGAGGATCCAAACAATTTAATTACTAAGGCTACTTTTATAATGAATTTAGAACTTTCTACCCTACACATGAGACTATACTTTTCACTATCAAACATTCACTAAAGTGGATTGTATTTTAAGCCACCAAGATGCTCCTGATAAATTTTAAAATTCAGGAACGGTACAGGTCACAATGCAATAAATGAAAAGATAACAAATGTACAGAAACTTATCTTCATTTTATGTATTAAGCTTTTTCCATAGCCCTAGATTCAATGTGCAAGTAGTAGTGTTTTTCCTTTAGGTTTGTAGATGAGCTGGAACATGTTTTGACTTTTCTGTACTGTCAGGCTCTAGGTTCAGGACCATCTGATCTACCCAAAATGAACTGGGAAAGGTTTTCATTTCTTTCATTGTTTTGGGGTGGTTTAAGTAGCATGAAGCCTTGGAGGGGTGATAACTCACCTGCAAAACCATCAGGACCCATGTCCCTTTTAGAGATGACTCTTTGCCAACCTTTTAATTTTCTTTCTGTGGTTATTGGTCTGTTCAGATACTCTTCCTCAAATTCGTTGTTTTTACTAGAAAAGCATTTTCTAGTAAAAATTTCTATTTTGTCCAGCTTTCCAATTTTGTCACCATGGAACTGTTCACAGTATTCTCATAAAGTTATTTCTGCTTTCAACTTTTTAAATGATTTCTTGTTTTCCTTAGGTTGGTTTATTATCGTATATTTCCTGATTTAAATGCTTGGTTCATTATTTTTCCTCTTTCTTGTTTTGTAATTAAATATTCCTCTGAGAACATCTTTGGCCAAGTCCTATAAAATGTAAAATATTTTCCCCAAAAGATCTCTAATGGAAGGAATTTTTCACGTCCTCTCCCTGTTCAGTGGACCAGGGAGCCAGGTCATGGGATGAAGGAAGAAATCAGTTGCATAGATAAAGTTGACTTATATTAGCTCACAAGATCTGATCACTAAAATTTCAGGAATTTTTCCAGTCTATTATTAAACACAATCCCTTAAAACATTTTAAAATATGAACTGCTAAGTAATAAGTCATAAGGTGTTCTGGTGGTGGAGTAGATAAGGCACTGACTCCTTATTAACAATAAAGGCCACCAGCACTCGACACTCATCCCTTCCTGACTATTTTACTCTTATTTGTGCCCTTGAGCTGACCCACTTCGCCCAGAAGGAAGAATGACTAGACAGCAGAGTGTGTACTACTGCACATCTCTTCTCAGCGTCACATTCAGTGACGTCTTGTCGGTACTGAAATCAGCCGCGGTGGGAGGGTTTATACCATGGAAACAGACACTTCCATCCGGATTTGCACTTCCCCACAGAGCCAGCTGTAAACATTTATCAGCACACTACTGGGAAGATGCTACATCGACCGGGCTGAAGCATAACTGATGGAACTGGGAGCTGGGCCAGGAAACTGTTCCTCAACCTGCTCTTCACTACTTCAGCCCTTGTTGCTGTTGTTGCTGTTAGGTGCCGTTGAGTCGGCTCCGAGTCATAGCAACCCCACGCACAACAGAACGAAACGCTGCCCGGTCCAGGGCCATCCTCACACTCCTTGCTGTGCCTGAGCCCATCGTCACAGCCACGGTGTCAGTCCATCCCATTGAGGGCCTTCCCCTTTTCTGCTGACCCTCCACTTTACCAAGCGTGATGTCCTATTCCAGGGACTGGTTCCTTCTGACAACATGACCAAAGTACCTGAGACGAAGTCAGGCCGATTTTGGTTCTAAGGAGCATTCTGGCTGTACATCTTCCAAATTGGATTTGTTCATTCTTCTGCCAGTGCATGGTATTTTCAGTATTCTTCGTCAACACCACAATTCAAACGCATCAGTTCGTCTTCAGTCTTCTTGTCTATTGTCCAGTTTTCACATGCTTATGAAGATACCATAGCCTGCATCAGGCGCACCTTAGTTTCCAAAGTGACATCTTTGCTCTTGAACCCCTTTAAGAAGCTATCATTCCTCACATGATCTCAACTCCGTCTACCTCTGGTACCACATTTTCTACATATGTAAGACTGATAATTTCAGCTACAATTCAAGACAATGCAAACAAGAGCACATACACATGGTGGAGAAGACAGATCACTTGTACCTTCTGAACATGTAAGTGACTGCGTTTTTTGCTGCGAGAGTATAATCAAATACAATGGATCTTAGAGATGGTTTCAGGAAATATAACAGGCAAAGACCTTCGACCGTATTCCTGGGCTTTAAGACACTTCCAGGTACAAAGAACGCTTCTTTAGCCCCAGCGATTTAAGAAAGATCAACTGTCTACTAAGAAATAAATGATGAAACAGCTCTCACCCCCTTGAGGTGAATGTGTTTGAAGTCTCAGCTCAACTCAATCCACCCGGCCTTTAGGCTGCCCTTACCTCCAATGACAGTGAAACGGGCCTGTCCTTACTGGGGCAAGACTCAGAACCTCACCTTCTTCAGCAGACACCCGGTGCACCTGCTGCTTGCTTCCAGGCCACAGGAAAATGGAGGTGAGTGGGTCGACAAACAGCCTGTAGTACCCAGCAATAAGACAGCCCAGGTCTTTTGCACTGTTGGATTCCAGCAGCAAAGTCAGAACCTTTGAAGGTAAAGAGAGCTCTTGTGTTTATAAAGGGTCAAGAGACAACGTGAGGGCTGACAATAAAGCCACGTGAATCACTGAGAGTCTAAACACACCCAGTCATGGTCCACAGGCAGGCCTTCTGGTCCCTCCCATTCTCATCTACAAGGCTTGAAGTAAGTGTGCACATGCACACACACTCACACACACAATGGGTTCCTCCCACTGACTTTCTACAGGTCTCTTGCCTCTCCTCCATCCCCTACCCAGGCCCCCATCCCAAATACCCGATCCCAGCTTGTTCATTCGTACAATGGGGCCCTTTCAAGATCTGATCAAGAAAAGAAAAGAAGCAAGAGCAAGTGGATGGTGAGGAAGAGGGTGATAATAAGAACAGAGCCCCACTGTTCAGCATGTTGGAGACAGATCACAGGAGGGAAGGATAAATGTAGGGCCTGTCAGAGGCTTAGGAGGTATCCTGCACCATTCAGGGCATCAGAGTTGGCACAGCTATCCTGTGACTACGCATGTGCTACAAATCCTCTCGGGCTCCCATCAGAGTTTCTGAGTCCAACCGGAGCTACTCCATCAGGAAAGCACATGGTCCAGTTCAGTTTGTACAAAGAAATCTTTCAGGACCTACCCAAGAAGGAAAGATTTCTCTTTGTGGACCAGGATGGACAATCTATTGTTTTAAGCAAATGCTAGACATCAGACTTTATTATTTTTCAAAACCACATAATCTGTCCCATAGTAATTTAGCCCCGAATTGCAGAAGCTGGCTTGGGAACCGTCCCCTTGGTACCTTGACGTCCTGAAGATACACTCTGACCATGCTCACTTTCTCAGACTCTTCTGTGAGCTCTACGCGGCTGATGTTTGCAAACTCGGCCAGTGTGGACATGATATTGAGCTTGCTGTTAATGATCTGGCTAATCCCATACTTGGCTCCGACTAGTATGGTGATGTAGGATTCTCTGTCCTGTAACTGCAGAACAGTGGAAGGGGGTTTAGTTTCCATTCACAAGCTGGTGAAAATACATGCCACGTATAATAACCCTCTGCCTCTCTCATGGCTCTAGAACCTGCTTCATTTTGTTAGGTATGTTGTTTCAGCCTCAGATGCTTGAAGGTGGAAATTATGTCTGACTTAGCTCTAGCACAGGACTGGCACCATGCAAGATCACAAGAAACACTCACCAATGTCTTAATATTAAGTTTCTCAAACAAATCCCAGTACATGACAGAGTCCTCCTCCAGAATTTTAGGCTAAACATTAAATTGATTTCAGAGGACCTCTAGGGTGCCTTGTAATAGTAGGATTCCATAATTCTCTAATACATACCATTAAAGTAGCATTAAAGATTTTCCCACCATATGTCTTGAGTTTTCCAAGGATCTGTAGGTAATTTAAGCGTAGCTGGGCAGCAGAAATAAGTTGCTTCAAAAGAAAAAAATAAGATTTTTGAAGTTAGAGTTGGTCGCCTGCCTAAGAGCCCAGGCCATATTGGAGGTCTCCCTGAGATTTCACAACAGAGGGGTGGGTCCACAGAGGCCATGGCTGTGTCACCTTCTGTCGGGGTTCCAGCAAGTTCTGGTTCCTCTTCATGTGGAAGCTAATGGCCTTCTTGATGTCTTTGCCTTTCATGTTTCGGAGTAAAGTTGGAGATATGAAGTTCTCTATTCCCCAGTCTTTCCTGCCAGAGACATTGGAGACAAGAGGGCCCTTTTCTACAGTGTGCTTGGCCTTAATGAAGAGCATAATTACATTGGATTCAGTACTGAGTGTTCCCACAAGATGGCAATTATAAGCCTCTTTCTCTAGTGGAACAGAAAAGTGTATATTTGTACATTTTGTGCATGCAGATGCACACACATACACACCCTGCACAGAAATCCTCCACAGCTGTCCAGGAATCAAACTCCACTGACCATTTTGGGAGCTCGTTACTCTTGGTATGATGTGACACTCTACTAGAGCAGAAGTTCTGAACCGTTTTTTACTACAATATCTGTGACAGTGACCTGGAGATAGCAGCACTAGTGGGTCCCCACAGCCAGGCTTCAGAATGGCACTAACCTAGCATTCCCAAGAGGCTCCATAAACTTGTTAAAAACACAGATTCTCTGGTCCCTCTCCCTAGAGATTTGACTCAAGGACAGGCCAAGGATCGAATTTATTGTTTAAACATGATCCCCGCTGTGACCCAGCCATCCAGAGAGGGCAGAACTAAGGTTTGGTGAGAGAGTTAGCAAACGTGGGTGACAGAGCCCACAGTAAAGTGAAATCAAGAGGTGTTAGAATCCTAGGACCTCGAACTGTCCCAGTGGGACAGCACAATGGGAACTGGCTCCCACAAGGGGAAGATGACTTTCCAAGGCATTCCTGCCCTTAGAAGAGATTGACATTAAAGTTGTCAACCGATTTCCCGAGACATCCTCTGACTTCTGGCCTAAAAGGGGACCCCCTAGGGGAGCCATCCCAGGTGGGAGAGGGTAGAGGGGGGACTGACAGATGGGAAGGCAGTGACGTCACTAGGGGTGGGGAACACACTAGGTGACACCATTAGAGGGGTAACACCAAAATGACTTGTCTATAAAATTTTTCTACAATGTTTTGGCAGAAATTTATTATTTTTTAATAAAAATATCCTGCAGTTAATAGTTATAACAACTAAAACGTTTTTGGTAAGCCCAGTTTACATGGTTTGATGTACCTACACGGCTAAACTAAAAGGAACTTCATGATGTGCTCTGGTCAGAACTGTCATTACCCAATTACAAGGGTGTTCTGAATCACGTGGTTTTGTCTGCACGTGGCACAAGCACACAGTTGCTTTTACTATGACAGTGTTTTTACCGTTGCTGAGTTTGTCACATTTTCTGGGGTTTTAGCTACGATATCATGGTAAGTAGTATCTGTGAACCTATAGGAGTAACTTTTTTGAAACTGAAGGAGCAATTAAAGGAAAAGGAGGAAAAACAAAAAGGGCTTCTGCCCAGTTACTAATGATCTAATGCCCTAACTAACAAAGCTGCAATTCAGTGCACAGAGGGTTACAGACCAACTGGCAGTATTCATACAATCTAAGACATAGTACGTTTAAGCAATTTACAGCTGTATCTATCACGTACCAGTCTATGATTAAAATTGGTCGGGCAATCTACTCCTGTAGCGATACCATCTTGGAAACCCAAGGAGGGGTCTCTATGAGTCGAAGTCGACTCGACGGCAGTAAGCTTGGTTTTTCGGTTTAAGGTAATCTATGGTCTGGTGGAGCTCTGGCAGAATAGTGCCTAAGGCACTTGAGTGCTCACCAGAAGTCTGGAAGTTCAAGCCCACCAGCCACTCCTCAGAAGGAAGGTTGGGCAATCTACTTCTGTAGTGATACCACCTTGGAAACCCAAGGAAGGGTCGCTATGAGTCAGGTCTGACTCAAGGGCACATAGCAACAACAACAACATGGTCTGGTAGGGGAGGAGGTTGGTGCTGGGGAGACAGACACTATGACCTTCTGCACTAGGTGGCACCAACCCCAGTGGCGCCCCGGTGGTGGATGGGTAAGTATCCGCCTTCTGTGGACTCTGGCTGTTCTGGCCCGGGGCCAGCAAAGGCAGAGCTGCGGGGCAGCTGCCGGGGCGGGCTCAGGCGTCTCCTGCACTCACTCTATGTACTTGAGAGAGATCTTCTGCGGCTGAGCACACGCGTAGATCCGTTCCTGGATGTGCAGGGCCGCCAGCCGCAGCGCAGAGCCGCACTCCATCTCCACGGCAAAGCGCTCCTGAAGTACATCGCTGCAGCTCTGGAAGAGAGGGGGTTACAGCAGGTGGGAAACGGGACCGCACGGACTGTGCTCCCCTGTGCTCTCTGGTGAAAGGCAGCAGGACCCCTCGGAGGCCTGGCTCGGCCCATCCTTGCCTGGGTGAGCTTGGTTCGGTTGCTCAGACACTCTGAGCGTTGCTGGCTTCCATTGCTAAATGAGGATATAAAACCTACTTTATGCAGTTGCTGGGAGATTCAAATTAGATCGTGCATATGAAAGCATGGGAGCCCAGGTGGCACAGTGACGCACTCAGCCACTGACTGAGGGTCAGCAGTTTGAAGCCACCCGTGGCCCCATGAAGAGAACATCCGGTGATCTGGTTCCATAAAGGTCATGACCCTGAAGGTCCTGCGGTGCAATTCTACTCTGTCCTGCGGGGTTGCTGCGAGTCGGCATTGACTCCAGGGACACAGAGAACAACACGTGGAAGCCACACGATGTTACACAGATATCAAACCCTGCTGCTATATTAATCCCACCACTCCGTGAGACTTTAGGCAAGTCAGCTCACCTGGCCGCAGCGTTTTCATCTGCAAGAGGGTGATACCTGTCAGGAGCTCTCCTCCATTGGAACAAAAACAACATAATAACCCTCCCACCTTAGAACCTGGCTGGGCGCCAGAGAGCCAGATTGCGGCTCTTCCACTAAGTGCATGGCCGAGGGAAATCACATGGACTCTCCGAGGCTCCATTTTACATCTGCAATATGAAGCTTCTGAAGTACCAAAGGCCCCTTTAGCAGTAAAAACAATCATTCTAAGCATCCTAAAACAGTACTAGAAAACACATCACCTACGTTGAGGACGAAGCCTGGACTCATTATTATATCACAAACCTCCTGACACAGGCACTTGGTGATGGCCAAGGGCACTCTGGGGGACAGTCAAGCCCACCCTCCTTCAGATAAAGGTAACTCCAGGGTGCGGCTTCATTGCCTTCAACTCTTGTTCAGAACGATCCAATGTGCCACCTATGAGAACCACCACTGATATTTTAGGAAACACAGACCCAATCACCTGCAGATAGAGGTACTCAAAGGCCACAGGGTCTTCTTTCAGGAGGTCCAGGGGGTCCTTGGGGACAAAACACACCCTGAAGAGGCAGCGGTAGTCATGCGACTCTTCCTTTTCCACCACCTGCAACGGGTAAGGGAGATGCCATTAATCTTCTCACTACCTCTGTCCTGTTCAGTCATTCCAGAAAACAGCTCTTAAAAATAAAGACAACACAAGACAGTCCCTGGAGATTTCAACATCAATGCTTTTCAAGACAGCTGTAGACCTCTGGTCTTTTCCGTGGGTAGAGCGAAAGGCTCAAAGGGGCAAAGGTTCGTGCGGACCCCATCTCCCAGTTCCCCTTTCCCGAGGAAACATGTTTCCAGGGCTCGTGTGCCCTTCCTCAGACAGCCTATGGGTCTTTGTGCTTCTGCATATGCACATTCTTTGCTTTTTCACAAATAACTGTATTTGCACCTTGTCCTTACTTCACTTAAAGTATCTTAGAGATTTCCTGTCATTTTCTTTTCCAACTCAAATGGAATAGAAGTGATAAAAGGAATGTGCAAGCAACAGCCCAAGCAGCTCAGCGAGAGGAGGAAGAATTCTCCTGCAGAGAGCACTGCTCAGAGTGGGGCCCACGAGGCCATGCCTTGCTCATGCTGCCCCTGCTTCAAAAGCCGCTTCCCCTTTACCACCTGTCGAGACCGTTCTCATCCTTGCCGGAGCAGGCACTCAACAAGGTCTGCTGACCTGAACGGAGATTGGCTTTGGAAAGCTGGCAATGACTGAATGGCTGAAAAGACTGCATGGGACAGACACTAGCTGTTGGCCCTCTCCTGCACCAGGGACCAGCTCAGAAAGGGCCGCTTCCCTAACATCTCAAAGGCAGCATGCACAAGGGAAATCCTAAGACTTAGAAGATCAGGGCTCTACCAGCTCTGTTGCCCGAGCTCTCGAAGCCTCTGGCTTCCCCTCTGTTAAATGGGACCCCTGTTTTCTGTGGCTTGTATATCTCTTAGGAGCAGATGAAAACCAGGTCCAGGTACCACCCAGTTAGTCCCAGGCTGAGCGTGCTCTGTAAGCTACTGCTGACACGCTGCGTCCTGTCCCCAAGGGTTCCAGCCCAGGTGCTCCCCTACCTGGTGGATGAGCTCCTCCTCACGCAGCAGATGCAGCCGTGAGACGCTGTACTGCTCTTCCAGGGCCAGCGCAAAGTACTCAATGCTCCGGATCGACAGCTTCTCCTTCACCGTGAGGATGATGTCCTACCGGGCGCAGAGAGGCACGGGCTCACCCCAGCTGCTCCGAGAAGCAGGCAGCCCCTCGTGCTTAGGCACCAGGGCGGACGCCCTGACCCTGCAGCAGCTGGGGACAGAAAGTCCCTGCTGACCGGGCCTGCTGCTAATTCAGGCAGCTGCGTCCCAACGGCCCTCCCGTTCCTGCTTGCCAGGCCACCTGAGAACTTCCCGTCACGCTCACACCTGTCTACCCAAGGCTCCCTCTCCTCGGAGTCCCAGACCCACTCACACGGCCTCCTGCTCTTGCTCTGCTGGGAAGGCTGAAGCCACCGGGTGGGGTTCCCGGCTCCTCCTCCCGTCTCCAGGGTCATCGCCCTGTGTAGTTCCCGGACTGTGTCTCTAACGGCTTGCGGACTCTCACCACCCATGTGACTGTTACAATGAACCTCAGTTTCTTCCTCTGTGCGATGGAGGATGATAACACCTCTTTGTCAAGGTGGCCGACAGGATGGAAGGAGGGAACTAATGCCTGGGCCACGCTGAGGCAGAACTGCCGTGCCACCTGGCCCTCCCTCACTGTGGTGGCCCCCTGTGCCATGAAGTCTCCACTGCCTCGGGCACTCAGACATGGAAGCCCTCTCCCGGCACACATTTCCCTTCCTCTTCCCCAGGCTGCTTCCATCTCCTCCTTCAAGTCTCACTTTCACAGCCTTCTTTCGAGAAGCCTTCTCGGGTCACTTTATCTAAGGGTTATTCTCTTTCCTGGGCCTGTTCTTCTCCTTCATAATTATTCACTGTTACTTTCTCCAACAGCAGCTATGTTCTTTAGTGAGAGACGGCACAGGGAAGATCAGAAGAGGAGTTCTAGATCTAGACCACGACGAGGCAGCGAGTGAGTGAGCCACGAAGAGTCCATCTGCTTCAGCAGCTCGGCACTAGTCAGTGCCCGCTGTGTGCCAGGCATTGTGCTGGCCGGCCCCTCTTCTCCATTCTCCTCTGTCCACTCTGGCTTGAGCTCAGCCATTTCTCCTGGCTCTGTACAGCAGTGTCCTACAGAACTCCCTGCCGCTCATCGGTCCTCCAACCTTGAATTAAAGCAGGGGTAGGTAAACCACGGCCCTCAGGCCAAATCCAGCCCACTGCCTATTTTTGTAATTAAAGTTTTACTGAAACCCAGCCATGTCTATTCACTACAATGACAAAGTTGAGAAGCTGCCAGAGACTGTATGGCTTGGAAAACTTTAGCTACCTGGTGGCTCTGAACGGACCACTGGACGAAATTCAAACTTCTCAGCTTCACAGTCAAGACGGTTAAGTATAAGGTGCCAACCAATTTCTCCCACTTCCTCTTCGGCTGCTTCTCCGTAAGCAGCTTGCCCACAGGCCCCGTGTCCTTGCCAAACTTGTGCATCTCTGGGTCTTTGCTGGTGTGATTGCTATCTGCACACACCATTCCTGTCAAAATCCCGTCTGTCTTTCCAAATCTGCCTCCTACTTCAGCACTCCAAGGAGACCTCGTTTCTGCCCCCCCGCTGGAAGTCCTTTCTCCTCCGAGTCTGCAGCACTGGCTGCCCTGCTTCCGTGACCCTGACCACACTGGACTTCGTGTCACAGTGAGCTGTCCCCAGGTCTCATCTCCTCACCCCAGCCCCAACTCAGGACTCCAGGCTTCCTGAGAGCATGACCTGAGTCATTTATTCCTGTGCCACCAACAGCCCAGCTCGGTCAAATGCCCGGCACTCAAGGACTGTCCCTGACTGTCCACTAGGTTAAATGACAAAACACCCTTGATTTAGGGAAAGAGTGCTCTCTGATAGAGGGGCTGTGCTTCCCTTGGAAAGGAGGGGAGGAGAAGTCAGTGATGACTGACAGCAACGCTTCCTTTCCACGCACAGGATCCGCTTACATCCTCTCTGTGTGTCAAAGGGCTACAAGATTTGCTTTAAAAATGTCAGTCACTACAGTATTACCAGCTACATCCTTGCTTATTTTTCCAACTCTGTCTATCATCTTGGGCTTAATTCCTCTATAATGTTTTTTTTTTTTTAATTTTTTATTGTAATTGTAGTGAAAGTTTACAGACAATTGGTTTTCTATTCAACTGTTCATACACATGTTGTTTTGTGCCATTGAATGGAGCCCCACAATGGGACGGTCCTCTTCCCACCTCCTCCCTGTGGTTCCCATTCCCATTTCTCCTTCTTCCTCCCCATTTCTGCCTTCTGAGCTCTGCTGCTGGGCAGATGGTGCCCTTTGGATCCTGTAGGGTTGATTGTGCTAAGGAGTACATATCTCCCTGATGTTACTGTTCACCGTATAGGCCTGTCCACTGTCGGGCTGAATGTTGAGCCATGGGGGTGGGTTCAGTTCCAGGCTTGAAGGGTGACTAGGGGCCATAGTCTCGGGGGTTCCACCAGTCTCTATCACACCTGGAAGCATGATGCTGTTGTTACTGTCAATCACCTCAAAGTCTTTTTGGCCATCAAAGGGAGCACACTTTAAATAAATCATCCTTTCTGTTCCAACCCACTCTGATCAAAGATGGCAGAAGCAGAACCCTTGTCTAATTCGTTTGTAAAACGTCCCTTTCACGCAGCACGGCAGAGGTGGCTCAGATGGGGGATTCAGAAACAGACCACACTGGAAGCCAGCTGTCAGGAGCTGACCTTGGCAAGTGTTTGACCTCTGGGGCCTGTTTTCTTGCCTGCAAAGTGGGGGTAACACTGGTCACTGCACAAGGTCATTATGGGCATTAAATGAGATCATGTTCAAAGAACTGCCAGAGGACTGTCTGTCAAGTAGTATAAAAAGGCCAAACCTATTGCAATCAAGTCAATTCCAACTCACAGGGACCCTGTAGGACAGAGTAGAACTGCCCCATGGGGGTCTTGAGGCTATAATCTTTATGGAAGCAGACCGCCACATCTTTCTCCCAGGGAGCAGCTGGTGGGTTCAAATTACTGCCTTCCTGGAATTGAACTCACTCCCATGGCTTCCAGCCAAATAGATAGGCATATGAGGTGCACATATACACCAGGTAGGTACACTCCTTAGAACAATCCATCATGGGAGACCAGAAGGGCAGCACTTGCACAGGGAGACAGCTCAGAGGGCACGATTGCATAGGAAAGAAGGACAGAAAAATGTAACCACAAGGACGAAGTAGAAAGAGAGCTGTTATATGGTGATGGCAACAATGCCATGAAACAAAATGTGTATGAACTGCTGTATGCAAAACGCATTTGCTCTGTAAACTCTCACCCAAATCACAATTAAAAAAAAAAAAAAAAAAGACACACTGTTGACCTTTTAGTTAGCAGGTAAGTTGTTAACTACTGCACCACCAGGGCTCCTGGCATCCAGTAAACATCCAACAAAGCCAATACCATTCTTCCCTAAGGGCAGACTTTCTTCTCCTGGCCTGGAGCTCCCAGTGTCGCCTAAGTCACACTCTCAAGGAGTGAAGGACAGGGCAGGGTTCTTGGAGCAGCTCTAGGAACTCCCCAAGGAAGGTGCTGGAGAAGAGCACGAGGTGTGTACATGCACATATGTGTGTACATGCACATACGTGTGTGTGCACAGTTACCATGATCTGAGCACCGGCAGCAAGTCAGGCTCTGGGAACAGCTACAGGACAAGATGCCTGGGCTCCTGGGAGTTTGCAAATCCTTACTGGAAAGAGATTTGAGCTTGCTCTTAATACCTTCACAGTTGTGTTTGCCTCAAACTTGAACGCTTTGGTCTGTCCGTTCTCCAAGTAGACCTTGAGCACGTTGGGCATACACAGCAGAGAATTGCCCTGGAAGACACAGGAGTTGCGTTAAAGCCAGCCCTCCCATCCCTGGTGATGACAACTCCCAGGCAGTCCAGCTCTGACTGGTATGGAGAGCAGGCTCCTTCCCCAGCCTCCTTACCATGCCACGGGTTGATTCTTGGCAGTCGGCGAGTTCTGCAATGGACTCAGCCTATGCCACACAGAGAAAGACACACTTTGCCAAAAGCTACACACAAGAACTGTCAGACATGACAGATGGTGGCGAGTAAGCCCTGACGTGAGCGTGTTGACATCACTGCACGAGCCTGCACAATGTCTCACGAGCATTGGCTGGCACTCACTGCTGGCTGCCACGCTCGTGGGATGCAACTTAGAAAATAAGATAGGAAGCACACACACTGTCCCAGACCAGCCTCAGAGGTTCCTGGGCCCTGACCCTGAGGGGTGGGATGCTCTCTCAGAGCCCTCCTGTTGACTGCAGCATTCCCTATAGTGATGGGCCTAACGGGCAGAGGGAGGCTCACTGCATCCACTCACCGCAACCATCACCCCTGGACCTGTGAGATCTCCTGAAGGGCTCTGCCACTCTTAGAGGGCTCTCTGGTAACGAAGCACAGGGATGGTTCATGTCTGGTGACTCCGCGCCAGCCACAATTCCTGGGTTGGAGCAGGGCAGTGGGACAGTTACCTTTGGGTTTGGAGAATCCCACCAGGGCCGTAAAGGGTGAGTTCTAAATGTTAGGCTGCAGGTAAAGAGGGCCTTTGGGAACGGTGGCCTCCTGAACCAGTGAGAGGTTCTAGAGTCACACAGACTGGAGCTAGAACTTCCCATCACCTGTCTCTCCAAAGGGTCTGGGAACAAAGCCCACCTGGGTAAGGAAGATTATCATCTTTAAAAACAAAGAAACAAACCTGACAGCTTCTATAAAGATTCACAGCCTTGGAAACCCTATGGTGCACTTCTACCCCATCCTAGAGGGGCGCTATGAGTTGGAACTGACTTGACGGAAGTAGGTGTCATAGTTCTTTTTTTTGGTATCTTCTAAGCAAGACACACACCAATCACAATCTGTTTACCCTTTAACTTCTTTTTTTTAAATGACAGTATTTTTTAAGGAAGAAAAAGGACCATGTTCCCATTCCAGTGTCATTTCACACTCAGTCATGGACAGGGGACTGAAAACTGCTCACTTGACAGTCATTTTACTTCTCTGGTTTCAGGAATTTAGAAATCTTAGCCTTCATATGTCCCAAGTGGGAAATACATGCCTTTATTTTTTTATACTATTTGTGATTTAAAATGTTTACCAAAGAAACACACCCATCATGGGAGATCACAGCTAGGGGTGATCATGGGGGCCACACGCTGACATGGATAAGGGGAGGGATGAGATAGAAAGGGTCTGTGACCACCATGATAGCATTAGGAAAAGGGCGGACACTGAATTGTGCACATAAAATATAGACGACAGATGCTAATACCAACCAGTATATCCACAATACTGCATTACCATTAACACCAAATGCCAGGCTACAGATAAACACATAAACATCTGAGAAGATCAGATGGGGCTCAGTGAACAGGAGTATACTCTAGACCAAGGATAGATTCAGCAGAGGCTAATCTTGCACAGATACCAGTGACACAAAATACCCCCAATCCTTACAGAAACAACAGAAGACAGAGTAATCCCTCACAGACAGCCAGACACCGTGGGAGAGAGATCCAACAGATCTACCGACTCAGGACCACAGTACTGGGGGACATCAGACTCAATTGGCACAACAAAATACTTAAAAGTCTTATTCCTCATCCTACATTGGTGAGTAGCGACTGGAGTCTTAAAAGCTTTCAAGAGGCCATCTAAGATGCAGCTAATAGTCTCCTATTGTTGGAAGCAAAGAAGAGTGCGGAAAAAAAAAAAAAAAAAAAGGGCATTTGGAAGCAATCACCCCTAGGACATGATGGCCCTTGAGACTAGAAGAACTACATAGTGCCTGGCTACCAATGCCAACCATGCGAGAAAGGATCAAATCTGGAGATCCTGGATAGAGTGGGAGGGAAAACATGGAACAAAATCCAAAAACTCAGTAATGACCCCAATACTATGGCCCTGGGATACATTCTAGGTCTGAAAAAAAACTCACTCCCTGGGGCTAGCTCTCAGCCCAACAGTAAACAAGATGTCCACACAGACCACTCAACCCAGGGTGACACACCCACATACTCGATGGAAATGCATGCCTTGGAACAATCGACCACAGGGCATCAGAGGGGCAACATTCACACGGAGAAGATGCAGGACAAACAGGAGTACATAACTATGAGGGGCACGAGGTGGGTGTTACTGGGCAGGGAGAGGAGGAGACTGGGTTAGGGTTGGGCATGGTAAATGGGGACTGAAACTAAATGTACACATTATGTTGAATGTAAAACAAACTCTTAACATTAAAAATTTAAAAACAAAAAACAAAAACATATCCATGACAATTATATATAACCATCATCCTTTACTTTTTCCTAAAGCCACTCCCAAGTTTCATCGACACCTTTAAATAGTTTTCAGAGAGCTACAAGATTAACACGCACAGTTACACGTCACTAACCCTTCGCTAAAGTGTATCCTGTACACTTTTCCACGGGGGCTTATGGTTTATCATTTTAACGGCTCTATAATATTCTATTTTCAATGGCAAACAACAACAACAACAATATTCCATTGAGTTGAGATGCCAGAATTGATTTAACCATTCCTCTACTTATCTTAGGGCTTTTCCTTTTTTTTTTTTCCCTCCCACCATTTTAAATATTACCATTATAATTATCTTTTAACACACAGATTTTTGCATTTAAATTACTTTGCAGATTAAATGAAGAGGAATACGCCACTTTTTATGGCATTCACAAAGCTTTGTTTTTTTTCACCCCTGCAAAGTGTAGGATCACTGCAGAAAGCCTTTTGTCTTGGTTCCCAAGTGCCAGAGCAACACCTGGGGCTCATGAGTGGGGGCTGACCAGCCCAAGAGGGACCACGTGGGAGCCTGATGCTGACCAAGGCTCTTGAGGCATGATGTAATCCATCATGCTCACGTGATGAAGCCACCAAGAGCCAGGGAGAGGCTGAGGATCACATGGGGCTTCCTGGTTGGTGACCATGCATGGGAGAGGGTAGCGTGTCCCTTGGGACATCGAAGCTCCATGCTATGGCCACTCTCCGTGTATCCCTTTAGCTGCATCCTTTTTTGTTACATTCAAGCTGTTATTACAGGTATGATGTCTCTCTGAGCTCTGTGAATTGTTCCATCAAATTATTGGACCCAGAGGAGCAGGCTAATCTGAAGTGGAGGGAGTCATGTGAACCCCTGGGCTTGTGGCTAGTTTCCTAAGGGGCTAGAGGAAAACCTCAAGCTTGGGGCTGGCTTGTCTAAAGTGGTGAAGCACTGGTGGTGCAGTGGTTAAAGCATTCAGATGTTAACCAGAAAGGTCAGTGGTTTGAGCCCACCAGCCACTGCACAGGAGAAAGATGAGTCAGTCTGCTTCTGCTGAGACTGACAGCCTTGGAAACCCTGTGGAGCAGTTTGACCCTGTCCCATAGGCTCGCTATGAGTTGGAATTGGTTGAATGGCAGTAGGTTTGGTTTGTTTTTTTGTCTAAAGTAGAGGGACTCATATGGAGTCCCAAGCTTGCAGCAGGTAGCTGCTGACCTAGACTTGGATGGATAGAGGCAGAGCAGTCTCTGGATAGGGGCTGCTGCCTGGGACTGAGAGTCCTGTGGGCTCCTGCCCTTGCTGTCAGCCCCTGCCGACCCTGCCCCAAGTGGCCAGGGATGAGAGAGCAGGGCTCCGTGAGCAGCTGGGCTCTGAAGTCAATGGGAAAGGGAAGCCGAGCTTTCCACCGGAGGAATCGGCGTGTGAAGTGGGGTTTGTTATGCACCACACAACGTGGTGTCAGAAGTGGATGATCTTAGTCTTCTGGACTGATTTGCACAATTGGCTTAGCTGGCAAGATTCGCTAGAGCGACCCAGTCAGCACAGCCCCAAAAGACATTAAACCAGGTTGCGAAGCCGCCAGTTAACGTGTGAGCACAGTCGCCGTCTCATACGAAGGCTTACATTTTTTAAAATTTGTGCTCATTTCACGATAAAGTGATGCTCAATATTCCCCTCTGCATTCCTTAACTATGAGCAAGAGCAAGCATTTTCAATGTTGCTTTACTCTTTCAGATTCTTCCAGGGGGACTGTGCGTCCCTGCACAGGTCTCATTACATTTGAAAGGGGAAGTGTAATGACCACCTTTATCATCTTTTAAACATTTGAAGATATGAATAGGCAGGGCACAATGGCTGACTCTTACTGGTTCTACTGTCTCTGCATCTGAAGTCACACAGACCTGGGCTCCCATACGTCCTTTTGCTACATGACTGTAAAGGTGAATTTTCTTAACCTCTCCCAGCCTTTGCCTCTTCATCTGTTAAAACACCAACTTGGCAGGGCTATTATAATGACTAAGGATTATGTACGTATAAAGCTCAGGTAGACACAACAGAGGTTCAATATGTGATGACATCTTCCAAAGAGAGTAATTCCCCACCACCTCTCCCACTTTACCATCTTCAGAAAGCAACCACAACCCAAATGCTAGGCTCAAAAATTCCTAACAACGAATGACCAGATGGAGTTTGTCGCAATGTCCCAGTCAGGAGAAGGAGTTCATAGAGTAGGAGAACCTCACCCGGTGCTGCTCTCCCTGGCCACCACCAGAGACCAGAGACCTGACCTGCCTCCCCTGTCTCTATCGAATGTCATCGCACTCCCTGTGTCCCTTCCTGTGTGTGGAATCCTCGGGTCCCAGTGAGTTCTGCGCTAGGAGGCAGCCCCCCGGCTTCATGAAGAGCATGCCAGCTCTCTAATGACAGACCTGGCTGTGCCCGCTGACGAGCACCTCCTCGGCAAAGTGCACCTTCACAGGGTTGGTCTTCAGCCTGGCTCTCTTCTCCTCAGTCAGGAAGGATGACTTGGGGACTCCCTGCAAAATATTCAACACAACACATCTTACAGTGATCATTTCATGGAAGGCGTGTCAGCCTTCTCATTTCTTAAAAACAGAAACTCTGACAGCTGCTGTGGAGTCAACGAAAACCCATGGGAGAGGACAACACTCCATAAAACATCTCTTTTCATAAACTCTAGGGATTCTAGTCCAGACAATGTTCTTATATTTTGACGATTCAGTATGGTGGCAAAATGATTGCGGTCTGATGAAGACAAAGAAAAGTGGCTTGTGAATAAGAAAACCTGAATTCTCACCCAAGTTCTGCTTCTCAAAAGCTGTGTGAATGATCTCAGACATAGAGTTTTATGGAAGCAAACCAAATGGATGTGTACGGGTGGGTCTGTACATATGTGTGTAACACAAAATAACTCTATGATGCACTTTGGCCAAGTCATTGCCCCTCCTCTCTGAGGTTCAGTCTTCCTATGTGTACAATGTGGAAGTTAGACAAGAACACTTCCAGGGACCGTTCAAGTTGTGACCCCTGTGATTTATCCTTGATCCTCTTTGCTCTTCTAGTCTCCTGGGTAAGAACCCTCTTTCCCCAGAGGTGAGCAGAGTCACCACGGGTGGTACATAATACTGGCCAAACTGTGACACTTGGTGAATAGCATCTTGCATGACCCAGACCAAAAGGAGATGAAATCCTGATACAGTATTTCTCAGCCTGGAATCCTATGTTCTCTTAATATGGACAATCGTTTAAGCCAGCCTCCAGTACATTTACATGTGTAAGAGTCCTGAGATAGAGCTCTGAGATGTATGTTCTCCGTAGCCAAGGGAAGAGATACATAACAGCCATCAGGGAAAGTGCTGGAAACAATACTTCCAGACATGGATGGCGACAGACTAAAACTACGAAGTATATGAAATGCACAAGTGACTATGAAATGTTTTTTCTGCCAAATTGTACTTATTTTGTTGAGAATACATACACAGCAAAACATATACCATTTCAACAGTATCTACATGAGGAACAGTCAGCCACAGGGACCCAGGTGGGGGGGATAAGAGAGGTCTCCAACAGCAGGACAAACTTGTCTGTTGGTTTGTCCTACTGTGGTGACAT